CCATTGGAATCTTAGCCCTCAAAAGAAATGAGGCATTTGCACTTTGCTGTCCCTTCCTCAACCCTCTGAAATGCAGTCATCTTTTCTGCTCAGAAATATCTGATCCTTCCAGGTGCTGGCCTGTTGGCCAAAGGAAACAGTCAAGCTGACATGCTGAACTCACTCTGAATGCCAGGCACTCTGCTTTCTTGTTAACATGGTTAAAACTGGGAATGCTAGAGGTAGATACTCTTATAATAAAAGTGGCATAAGGAAGGAAAAAGAACTACAATGTTTTCCTCCTGGTCTTCAAGGAAATTTTCTGAGCAACTGAAAGGTGACTTGAAGTGTGTCAGAAGCCCATCACACCCTGCCAATTAACAAAGTATTATCATTGTGGAGGAAGGCTCCAAAGTACTATCATTAAATGTATCAGGAGCAAGGCAAATGTAAAAAGCTAGAGAGAGAGCTGCTAGCCAAGAGATGTCTAGAACTGCCTCATGATTGATGGGTGTTCCTTCAACTTCCATCAGTACACAGATGGATAGGATAAAACAGTTTCCTACAGGCTCAGTTAACTGAGCACACACTAACACAGATAACAACCTCTTTAAGAGGCACTGAATTTGTTAAAGGGCTTTGAAAACTTGTAAGTTTTCAAACTTAAGATACTCTTAAGTGCTCACTTTATACAGCTTCAAAAACCAGCAGGCTGCAAGCTACAATAACTGCCTTTAAATTACTTTTAGCTGACTTGTCTGTGAATTCAGGGTCCAGTATATCCTAGTACATTAAAAACAGCCTAGATTTTACTCTTTGCTCCTTTGTCAAGGAGGAAAAGGGAAACCACAAATAAGCTCAAGGAGAATAAAATACAATGCCTATGACTTTGTTACATGAGCCTGAATCAAACAGGACAGCAGGTCCAGGAAAGATCTGATGCAGACAAAGTAGGCAGCACTGTCTTTTCTGTTTCAGAAAGCTGTCAAAATAAAGTGATCTGCCAGCTTTAAACAATCATTTTTAAGGTATTAATGGAAACGTCCACAAAGTACTGACATTTTCATTAAGTTACTGTAAGTATGCAATAAAATCAGACTAATTATTAATGTAAAGGTGGAAAACTATCAACTTTAAAACCATCAGTGTCCTACCA